CCCCCCCTTGATTTTGGGGGCAGCCTCACGCAGGCAGCCCCTGCCTCCTTGCTCCCCGCTCCACAGCCGGGGCAACTCCAAGCACGCTCAGGGACAAACCGCACGGTGTGGTTTGGAGCCAGCCGCTCCCCTTCGCCTTCACGGCACATTTTTTTGCCCCCTTTAGAGCAGCAAGGCAAGAGGCTCTGTTTGTTCCAACCTGCCCAAACCGAGCCATCGGCAGCGGGGCCACCTTCCCCTGAGCCGCCCGTAAGCCTACGAGGAGGGGGAAAAGGTGCTCCTGGGTGAAGCTCACCTGACATTTGCCACAGGAGGAGATTGAGACCTTTCGCTGCTTGTTTTCCTCCATCCCCATGGGAAGGTCGCAGGTGCCTCCACGCAGTTTAAACAACTGCACTGTGAATTCGACGGGAGGCTCCCACCACGAAGCACCCAGCAGCACGGACGCAGCCCCAGCAAAGCCACATCCCAGCAAGCCCTCCCGGCCCATGCCAGGATGGATTTTTCCTGGGGAGGGACCATAAAAATGAGTTTGTCTTGGGGATACAGGGGCTGGCGATAGCTCACAGCTGGGCACAGAGGAAGCCCGAGATAAGATTTAAGTTGCAAGGAACTCCCTCTTAGTCCACAACATACACAGGCACATGCTGAGAGCCTGGCGGGCCACGCAAGAGACCAAAAAGCAGTTTATGCTACGGGTCAGCATAAGCGGGAAAAATAAAAAACAAAAAAGAATAGGAGCATCCTGCTCCCAGAGCCTGGGACCTGCACCAGCTCTCTCAGAAGCAAAGTCCTTACAGAAGCCGTCCTGACAGAGCCATCATCCCAATCCCCTAATTAACGACTGGCTTAAAATACGTGGGAGGGTTTGCAACCCTTTCGACATTTTTTCAGAGTACTTTGCATGATGGAGCTGAGCGCCATATTCTGTCCAATTGCAACACTTAATAACGCCCGTTGCACTTCCCCAAATCGCTATTAGACCCATGGAGAATGAGGAACCGGAGGTGACTGCCCTGCAGCTAAAGATCTCATTGAGCACAGGCAAGAGACACCCAGGGCTGCCAAAACCCGAGATCATTTCCCTCCCTCCTACAGCTCCCTATCCCATGTACCACGGCTTCACAGCAAACACAGCCAGAGCCCTACAGACAGCATCCTCCGTGCCAAGCATGGCTCAGCCCCAGAGATGGTCCATCACCCGCTCTGGATAAGGCCAGGGGCCTCAGAAAACAAGGCGCCATCCTTTTATCACCAGCGGCATCGCTGGGAAGCACAGACACAAGGGCGGCTTGTGCGGAAGCACACAAGTCTGACACTTTTGGGAGATGAGCTCTAATTTCAGCGTCTGATGCCCGACCTTGCAGCGGTACAGTGAACCCGGTCAAATGGAAGCTGCAGACTCACCCGCGGTTCAGACGGGCTCGCGGTGCCCCAGTTTGGGAAGCGGTCTACAAACAAGCCGGCATAAACCAGTATGGAACCAGTACCTCCTGGTGCTTTGGGGTGTCATCCAAACCTGAGCTGTGAGGGAAAGCAGCGAGCAGCCGAAGCCAAGCCATCAGGCCGTGGGAACACGCGGCCACCCTCTCACGTGGGAGACCAGCGCGCTCGCGTCACTCACGCCAAAGCTGACAGCCACCGTTTCACCCGCCCGAGAGCGGCTGGGCCGTAACTGCTGGAGCTAAAGCAACCCCCGCCGCCGCGCGAACACAGCTTCGCTGCTGCAGGGGCACCCAGAGCAGCGCAGGTTCCCCCCTCCGCCCCCACCGAACTTTACCCGCAGCCACCGGGATGTCGGCGCAACCATTCCGGCTCCTTCTGGATAGCTGGAAAACCTTCCCCACGTGTGTGCCCAGGTGTTCTACTGAAATCCTACAGTAATTAACTGCAAAGCAATCACTTTGTGCTCGGAGGAGATCCCTGAGGAACAGGAGATTCATGCTGCCCTATGTAAAAGGTTCTTTGGGGTTTTTCCCCCCCAATGAGAGCGTTAATACAAGTGGGTGGCAGAAAAGCACCATCAGTGCTGCCCAAAATTCACTCCTAACGACGTTCACAGCAGTTCCCGCAGGATTATTACATGGCCTGGCCAAGGGACAAGTCAAAGGGGAGGGAAGCCATGATAGGAGCCCCAAGCCCTGCGGTCTGATTACCACCTTCCAGGTCAGCAAGCGCTGGCCCGGCCACGGAAGGAGCAGAAACCTGAAGAAGGAGGCACCTCGACAGAGGAGGCGTGCGGGCAGAGCAGAAAGGGACCAGCTCATCCATCACGGAGCAGCTCTCACATCACCTGGGCGTAAGTGCCCTAGAAAAGACAGGTTGGAACTGTCCCCCCCGGCCCCCTGTCACGTAATCAGCTGGGTGGAGCAGTGACACAAGGAGACTCGGGGCTGCCAACAGCGTAAATGAGGATAAATGAAGGTAATTTATGATACAGGGATGTCGAACTGGTGAGCAAGAGGAGAAAATGGGGTCCTGAGGCTGGCGAGCACTGGGACATGGCAAAATACTCAGCATCACCATGGAGAAATCAAAGAACCGACCCAGGAGATGCAGCTCTATCAGATCAGACATCTCTGAGGGCTTTGCCTGGAGCGGAGGGGAGAAAGTCAGGAGGGTCCAAGCTCCAGAGCGATCCTCATGCACGGCTCATCTGCTCCACAGCTCCCAAAGCACCGCACTCAGACATTGCTTCTGCTGCCACCCCCAGGGCAGCCTTCGGGTTTGCTGTGCCAGGGAAGGGGCCAGCGCGAGGCCAGCATGGCGCTGAGCCGCCTGCCAGGCACGGCTATCAGCGAGTGCTCACCGGCCACAACGTGCCCAAGGACCAACGCACCATTGCCTGCTGACCGCGCCGCCCCCCAGCTTTGGTTACAACGGCAACCTGAAAGTTTCCCATCGCAACTGGGTTCCTCAAAGAACATCCCAGTTTTATCCAGAACAAAAGCCAAAAGCATTTTCAGGGATGCTAAGGAAAGCTACGGACTTCTGCAGGAATCACAATCTGAGCAAGCTCACTGTAGCTTTCGCACAGCCCTTTTTTCCAGTCGGATGCATCCTGGTCATTTTGCGCTGCCTCACAGGAGCGGGGAGCCGAGCTCAGCCCTCAGCTCAGAGGGGGGGTTCAGGCACTGGCGTCCCAGCCCGAGAGGCCCTGATCCGGGAGAGGCCGTCTGCGAGCCCGGGGCTGGACAGGCGGTGCCCACCGACCCGCCGGAGCAGGGAAGGCACGGCACTGGTGTGGAGCGGCAGCAAGCACTGAGCTACTTGCAAAGCAGCGAGCCCTCCCCGGGGGCTAGGAGCCACAAGACCCCCCAGGCTAGGAGCCGCAAGACCCTACAGTGCCTTTCCAGCCTCACCACCAAAACCCAGAAGAGCCAGGAGGTGCAGCATCCAAAGCCAATCTCACACCTAATACTATTTTAGCGCTTGCACCTTCTCACCCAGCCCATCCCTCCCTATATCCCGCGATTTGGCAGCATCTGGAATCCTTGCCAAGCGCTAATTAACACCCCCTCCTACGCGCTGGCCCCGCCGCCGGCTCTGAGGTTTGGAAAGCGGCACCTGAAGCTGTGCTTAAATCGCCTCAGCGATCCAAATCTCCGTAAGGCGACATCAGGCCACAGCAGCGGGAGGACTGGAAGCTTTGCTCAGGCTGCGGAGCGAAGCAACAGCAGGGCCCGTGGTTCGTCGAGGGGACGGGGCGCAAGGACTCGGCTCGCAGCCCGGCCCGGGACCACAACCCCGAGGGTCCCTTCGCAAAGAGGAGCGCTTAGCGGAGGG